ATGGGAGAACAACAATCTTTTCTGGTGACAGCTGCTAATCATAAATATAGAGAGATGTATGCTTAATTGGTATTTATACAGGTACCAATGATAAAACGTATTTGTGATAATCTATAAAAGCACAACAAAGTTAACCACTGAACAGGCAGTAACTACCAAAATATGAGGTTTTCTGTTTTCTGTGATTAAGCAAGCACTCTTTCACTGGCTTCACTTGTATAGACCTCAGTTTGTAGTACAGTAATAAAAATTCAGAATGTCACTGGTTGCTACTCAAGAATATCAAAAGCTAAAGGAAGTACATAGCTCAAGTGGCATATGGACTGCCTAGCAAGTGGGGCCTTGAGTTCAAAACGAACTACAGAAACAAATAAACAATCAAACAAAAGCAATATACCACATTAGGCAGATATATAATGATGGAACAGGAGACTTTGAACAGGAACATTTAGACAATGATGTTAAATTGTAACCCCCATGCAATCTTCTAAATTACTGAAAAAAAATTGTTTTAACTTAAAAAGAACTATATAAGAAACTGTAAACCAACTATAGGGCTATGTAGACTTTTTTTTGATAAACCAGACTGAGAATTTTTCAAAGAATACAGCTCATCTCTGAGATATTTTGAAGCTAAACATACTGAAAGCCTAAGCTAAACAACTTCCTAAGATTCTTTTAACCCTTGATTATGTTCAGGATATCACCTACCTTTTAATATTCTAGGTACAACAAACAATAAACACAGAATCCAGAACAGCAAGGAAAGTCATTTCTGTAACATTATGATTATGGAATATTTCCAGAATCTTCCTCAAAGAAAATCAGGGGAACTTTAGCATAAAAACCCAAGCATCCTCAAGACAATGACCCAAAAGAAGCAAATCCAAAGTCAGAAGCTCTAGGAGCTACACCAATGGATCAGAATGTGAATATACATCATAAAACACTGCTAAAATCTCTTCCCTAAGATTACAATTTCCTATTCACTTAAGTCCCTGTTAAAATCTCAGTCCTTTCCTCAGATTTTACCTGAGTATTATTATAAAAGGCCACTCACCTAAGTTGTTTTTCCACAAATTTTCATGACCCATGTACACATTCATCCCTAAACTGGAAACAAGTTTAATATGTTAAGACAGATAAAGCAGTAAACTAGTCCAGGAGTTCAAAATCACATGGATCCAATTCACAACTAGCCTTTACTAAGCACTATCATCCTCAATAAAATCACTTAACAGTTCCATTTTAGTAACCTCTCTCTGCAGGTTTTAAAGTGTTTCTACTTTATTAACCCAGTATATTAAAAGACACTCTTTAGTAAAACACTAAGCAGTAATAAATTCACAAGTACCTTGAAAGTGATTTATTATCACAGCACTATAAAAGAAACAGAGATTGCTACCAGTAAGAGTCATTTTAGAGCACTTTGTAAAAACCCTCAAGCTAGTCACATAAAGATTATTACAGTGGAGAAATGCAGCAACACATTCCTAAGTACATCTACCCATTTAATGCTTATTTGCCATTTCAATTGAAAACCTTCTAGTCAGTCATTTCTAGGGCTATACTTTGAGTATACTGTAATATTAATTTTGAATGTTATGCTACTTGGAAATTCTAAATGGAGAAAAATAACTGGCATTTATTCTTTTAAAAAGTAAGGAAATATTCAGGCTTACATGCTAGTTTCTCCAACTATATATAAACTTTACTCCAAATTCTTATGTCTACCTAAATAACCAGTCATTTGTAGTGAATACAATGTCAACTTGTTTTGATATGATACATTTTCTACATACTGGCTAGACTGAAGAAACACTATTGTCATTTTAAGCTAACAGAAACATCCTCAGCATAAGAACCCAAAAACTAATAAATGTTAGAATTCACTTTCTAAAACCAAATAAAAATTTGTCTTAGTAATCAAGGCTAAAATGTTATAACTGTACAAGGTACAGTTTTTCTACAAATCCCTCAAAAAGAAAAAGGAAACAAAAAGAATGTGGAGAAATGTATAGTCTGTCAACTCTATCATAGAGTTGTCAAGTGAATTAGCAGGAAAACTCCCTTGTCTTACATCTATTTTTAAAAAAAGAAGAGAATGAGGTGATGTTGAAGTCTCATTCCCTCCCAAGTTGTCCAGCTTAGTTCTAGAAGAGGAATGTCTATAAAGCTGGGATGGAATTCACTGCTCTACTTCACTAAAATCTCAGCTGTTGAAAACAAGTATTTCATTTTCCTTATTGTTAATTAGGCAATTTTATGTTGCTTTGTGTTTTCTATAATAGAGAGAATAATAGGGCAAATTATCATGATAACATATAGAAATGTCAAAATGATGCCTATTAGTGTAATGGTAGCAGAATTTTCTAAGACTCGAAAAATTATTATGTCAGGTTTTTACGAACCTATTTTCTTTTAAGTGAATACCTACATCATTCAATTTATTTCCTGAGGAACTTCAGCCTGTCAACACAAAGTAAGTTGTGTTTTATTTTAAGCTGTTTCAAGGTTTCCATATCTTATCTTTTCCTTAAAGTATACTTAATAGCAGCCAATTTGCAAGTATCAAATTTAAGATTACAGCACCAGTAAATAAGAAGAAATTAACGTTCACTTCAAGTATTTATGTTGGCATAGATTGAATAGACTATGGAAGAAAGACTGACACCAAATGCTCTATTTTGCCTTTGCTGGTGTGCTACATGAACCAATTTTCACTGTACAAATATAACAGAGTGTCTGACATAATGACTGTATCATTTAAAATACACAGATTCATTAATTACTCCTTCTCTGTGAAAGTTTGGCATCTCCACTCCTGTCACATATTTGCAAACTAATTTTGTGTTGCACTAAAAGAACAAGAATCAAGAAACAAGAACAGATTTCTAAGTTTGGGGGTATTTTTACTTAATTTTATTATCACAGTGATGTACAGAGGGATTACAGTTACATACATAAGATAGTGAGTACATTTCTTGTCAAACATCGTTTTTTCTCCCACTTTCTCTCCCCTCCCCTCAGCTTACCCCTCACCCCAAGATGTAAAGTTAATTTCCAACATATTATTTTGTGAGTCTCACTGTTGCATTGTTTTTATAAAACAAGAAAAACATCATGGAAATGATTGCTTGCAATATAAAACTTCTAGGGTTAATTTTAACACCACTAAATGTTCAAATTTTCTTCAAAATGCTATAGAGATCTTTTTGTCTCTTAAAAAGAAATATTCAGCTGGGCACCAGTGGCTCGCGCCTGTAGTCCTAGCTACACAGGAGGCTGCGATCTGAGGATCGCTGTTCAAAGCCAGTCCAGGCAGGAAAGGTTGTGAAACTCTTATCTCTAATAAACCACCAGAAAACTGGAAGTGGCGCTGTGGCTAAAGTGGTAGAGTGCTAGCCTTGAGCTGAAGAGCTGAAGGACAATGATCAGGCCCAGAGTTCAAGCCCCATGATTGACACAAAAAAAGGAAAGAAAGAGAGAGAGAAAGAAAGAGAAGGAAGAAAGGACGGAAGGAAGGAGGGAGGGAGGGAGGGAGGAAGGGAAGGAGGGAGGGAAGGAGGGAGGGAGGGAGGGAGGAGAAAGAGAGAAAGAAAGAAAGAAAGAAGGGAGGGAGAAGGAAGGAAAAGAAAGAAAGAAAGAAAGAAAGAAAGAAAGAAAGAAAGAAAGAAAGAAAGAAAGAAAGAAAGAAAGAAAGAAAGAAAGAAAGAAATATTCAAACCTAAACCTTATAAGCAAATCCAAGTTGGGTGCTGGTGGCTAACATCTGTAATCCCAGCTACTCAGGAAGCCAAGATCTGAGGATCAAGATTCAAAGCCAGCTCTGGCAGGAAAGTCCATGAAACTCTCATCTCCAATGAACCTCTCAAAACCGAAGTGGAACTGTGGCTCAAAATGGTAAAGTGCTAGCCTTGAGCAAAAGAGCTCAGGACCACAGCCAGCCCTGATTTCAACCCCACAACCAATAAAATTAATTAATTTTTTTAAAGTGACTCCAACAATTTTGCCCAAAATAGCACACAATGTCTAATAAAATTTTAAAATAATAAAAACAATACATGCACAGATAATCCAATCAAAACTTACAACATTTTTGTCTTAGACCTATGGAAAATTAAAATCATATTAAGAAGCAAAAATATTCCATTTTATATTTTTATTGTAAGTAGAAATCAATTTCATAAAACTAATTTCACATAAAACTATTTTTCAAGAAAAATTTCCAATTGTTTCCATTCCTTTTTTTTATTATAAACTACCCTTAGACTGAAAGGTTCATAGTTGATAGCTTTACATGAAATGTAGTAAGGATAAGAAATATTAAATATTTATTCAAAATATGAGCCACTGATGACACAATATTTTTACTTCTTTTTTTTTTAAAGATGTATAGTAGGGTGCCAGTAGTCTGTAATCTTAGCCACTCAAAAGGCTGAGATCTGAAGATCACAGTTCAAAACCAGTCCAAACAAGAAAGTCCATGAGACACCAATTAACCAACAAAAAGCCAGAGGTGGAGTTATGTATTAAGTGGTAGAGCATTATCCTTGAGCCAAGAAAGCTCAGGGACAGCACCCAGTCCCTGAATTCAAGCCCTAGGACCTGGTGAACACACACTCCACACCTACACATACACATCTGCAAAGAGGCATAAAGATTACATCCACACAGTAAATGTATATAGACAACTATACCTAACAATTGTATCACTTTGACAGGAACTCTGCTAAATGTTTTATTAATCTTCAAAGCAACTGTAACCCTATTTTATAAGTAGAGGGGGAAAGCACAAAGAAGTTTAACAGTTTTCTCCAAACCAGTCAGTCAGAAGTGACAGAGCTGAAGTTCAAATGCACATAGCTTGGTGCTATAATGTGATTTCTGAATTTCTATATTACATGGCATATAAAGGACACAAGGGATCTGGCACAATGCTAACAAGTACTAAATAAAAGAACAATTATTATGTTAATATTGGTCTATCTTTTACTTACTTTGAGATAATTCTGGGTTTCCTTTCAGATTCATCATCTTTGGAATTGAAGGGCCATACACATCGGCATCTAACAAACCAACTGTCTTTGTCTGTAAGGAAACAATTCACCACAGGATTATTCACACTCTTCATCAAAGATAAGCTATACATGTCAACTGGTAGGACTACAAAAAGAATATCTGTAACAAAAATCCTAACGTAAACTTCAAAGTAATAGTAAGAAAAGCATAAATTGCTTAAATAAAACATTTTGATCTACAATTATCTTTTTGTGAGATGAGTCATTTTTATGTTTTTTTAATTTCAAAAATCCTCTACAGAGGGGTTGATCTACAATTCTTACAGTTTACTAGAAAAATCTACCCCATATGTTTTACACATTGTAGTTCGTGTCTCTTTTAGTCTCAAGAAGACCAAGAACTTTTTGAACTAACCATGATTTTCTTTTTCTTCTTCTTTTCTTCTCTAATGGTACTCAGGTGTGAGGGTTTGAGTTGTTCTGCCTTTATCTGGCTTTGGTTTTGGTTTTTTAAATCAGGACTTCACATTCAGTAAGCAGGTACTCTGACACCTAAGGTCTGTCTGTCCTCAGTCCTTGATGCCTTATTTTTTGGATTGGGTCTTGCTAACATTTTGTCTAGGCTAATCTGAGTCCACAATCTTTTCACTTATACCTCCTGGTGGCTAGGATTACAGGTACATCACCACACTTGGCTTAGTGGTTGACTTGGGGTGTCACCAACTTTCTGTCTAGGCTGGCCTTGAACTGTGATCCCCCTGAGTAGCTGAAATGAAAGATGTGAGCCACTATGCTTGGTCCTACAAATAATTTTGAAAATTAAGAAATAATATGAAAATAAGGTTAAAATACTGATTTACTACAGGAAACAAACCCAAGAGGATGGAACATTATTAACTTCTGGATTCTATCTAACACACCAAAGAATAGAAATTTTTAAATGATATGGGAAACAAGACAATAATAAAGCAGTTGTGAAATTCTGATGTGGACCTGACATAAAAGAAATGGAAATGCTAACAAGGATTACTGGCAAACAATAAAGACAGACTCATAGATGCAAGTTAAATATCCAAAGTCTTCTGTGGGACTCATAAATAACTGAAGACCATTCTCTTTGATGACCTGCCCAGCTGTCAAGGGGCAGAAGATCCTCACTGGTCTCTGCTAGCTACCATTATTCAAAAGCTGAGCCAAGGAAAGAACAAGATTCATTATTCCAAGGATCTCTTTTTCCCCTCTCCCCCTAAATCAGTTTCTTATTGATTTCTCATCAACAAGTAAATGGGATTCTAATACTACTTTCTTTTTACCAAGTCTTATAACTCTCCTCTACCACTAAACCACATTCCCAGCTTTACAACTCTCCTCTTATTCAACTCTATCCATACCATGGCAAAAATAAAACTCAAGCCCTCAGAAAAAAGTTTTAAAAACTAAAAGTCTATCTTCCATGACTTTTAACTACCTATTCCAGGTACAAAAGAACTTTTTTTTGGTGCTAGTACTAGGCCTTGACTCAGAGCCCTGGCCACTGTCCTTAGCTTTTTTGCTTCATGCCAGTACTCTACCATTTGGGCCTCAGTTCTCTTTCTGGCATTTTGCTTTTTTACTACAGACAATAAACTCAGAGCTTGTTTCAAACCTCGATCCTTAGATTTCAGTATCCTAAGTAGCTAGGATTATAAGCCTGAGCCACTAGCATCTGGACAAAATTTATTTGTTTGTATCAATCCTAGGGCTTGAACTCAGGGCCTGAGCACTATTCCTGAACTTTCTGTACAAAGTTAGCACTCTACCCGGTTGACTTCTGGCTTTTTTTTCTCTTTTATGGTGGTTAATTGGAGATCAGTTTCCTAAGCTTTCCTGACTAGCCTGGCTTCAAACCATGATCCTCAGATCTCAGCCTCTTGAGTGGCTAAGATTACAGGAGTGAGCCACCAAATGCCTGGCTCCCTTGTTGTCTTATTGCAATAAATATACAAAATAACATAAATCCAACATTTATGCTTCTAATTTTACCATGACTCAAACTGTAGTTCTAACAAAATCACGAAGTATTGTCAAGTCTCTTAAGAGAAAAAGTGGACTTGATATCTATCTCTGACAAAAATCTCAGGTTATTGTAAAATAAATGAGGAAATAGGAAAAAAATCTTTACCTTCAATAGTATACAGATTTTAAATTTAATGTATATAGGTAATAGCAGACACAACAAACAACTAAGAATTCTAGTGGATTCAAATAGAATTAAATATAGAATGAGGTGACCTAAAACCTTTAGAAAAGTGTTAACTCTGTTATCTAAGGATCTTCCAATACTGTAACTCTCATTCTAGAATTTTACCTTTTTTTCTGTATCATTTCTATGATACAAGACTAAAAACTACCACAAAATAATAATAAATACTAGTAAAAAGAGAAATATTTTAAGATTCTTTTTTATTTTTATATCAGTTTGGGGTTTGCAGCAATTTGAAAGGTTAAATTCCAAGTTTCAAACAGATCTTCTAACAATACCTGTCAACTAAATTAACAGCCTGGCTCTAACATTCACTATGGTTGCAATAGATTTTTACATCTATTACCCAGATAGCTGCCAATAAATACTATTACACAAAAATAAGGAGGATGGGAAGGTTATAAGATTTTATAATTCCTCTGCTTCCTACGTATTAGAAACCAATAATAGAAGAATTTTCCATGTCTCAAGTTCCTATATATTCTCTTTAGGAGTGGGTTATTCAAATTTAGTTTGTGTGTATGTGGATATATGTAAATGTTTATGCATTAAAAGGAAACAGAAAAGGAATGTATGAAGATAGAAGAGGAAAGCAAAGAGGGAGAGGGGCAAAGGGAGGGAAAGAAGAGATAAAGGGAAATAATTATCACAAGTGTTATATTAATACCCAGGTCAACTAGGTACCTATAGCTAGCTCTATGGACAGTCAGAATCTAAGTTTAAAATGAAATCACAGGATACAAGACTTTCTCTGATTATAACTTCTTGCTAAAACTCTTCCTGAGGCCTAGGGATATGGCTAGCAAAGCACCCGGCCCTCAGTTCAAACACCAGTATCCTGGGTAGAAAAAACACTGGATGCTAGACAATAATCTAAACATTTATTTACTTTCCTCATTTACTCCTTACACTAACACCACAAAGCAGTATTATCTTTTACTTCCAGATTAGAAAGCTGAAAACTAAACACTGAAAATGATTTTGTGTCTTATGTATTATTAGAATGAAACAGAATAAGCAGAAGTTAAACTTACAAAATACTAAGCTTAAAGATCCCCACCAAATCTACTACAAAAGATTTAAATATAGAATATATCTTTATAAAGAGCCAAATGATAAATAGTTTAAGCCTTGAAGATAGCATAATCTCTATAGCAACTAGTCAACACTACTTCTGGAACATCAAAGCAGCCATAGCAATACAAAATTGAATCAGAATACTGTGTTCCAATCAAACTTTACAAAAACAAAGAAGATTTGGGTCATAGGTCATAGTCTGACAACATCCAAATTAAAGTTGTTGGGGTTTTGTTTTTTTGGTTTATAGAAATTTATTTAAGTAAAACTCAGGGGCTGGGAAGGTGGCTCCGTGGTAGAGCTCTTGCCTTGCATGCCTGAGGTCCTGGGTTCGATTCCTCAGCACCACATAAGCAAAAAGAAAAAAAGCCGGAAGTGGCGCTGTGGCTCAAGTGATAGAGCACTAGCCTTGAGCTGAAGAGCTGAGGGACAG